ATTCCAAAATGTATTTCCCATCTTTCAGATTCATGGATTCAGCAAATTGTTCTAGACAAACTAACTTTATACTCCTCAGAGCCTAAGTACTGCTATAGGTTTGCGGGTGTTGTGAATGACGTTTTAGGGACTCCTAGCTACAGCCAAGTGTACACTGATGCAGATATTCAGGATCAGCTCTGTGATTCTTCCTTGTTCATGGCTAGAGCATACCTGCAGTCTGAAATCTTATTGCTTAGCGTAGTAAGTTGCACTAGAGCAGGCCCATTGAATCAGTGGGGATTTGGTGAGTAAACTCCTCCATAAGTTCCATTAATTGGGCCTGTAGCCCGACTATAATTGTATTTGCCTGGACAGCAGGCTTCCTAAGCAACAACACAGTTGGAGCCGAAGGGGCTCAAGGGGAGGTTGGCTATTTCTGCCCCCTCACCACTACCATGGGCAGTTCGTAGAATCATAGAATAATTGAGATGGAAGGGATCTGTTAGGCCATTGAGTCCAACCCCCTGCTCAATGCAGGAATCCAAATCAAAGCAGATCTGACATATGGTTGCCCAATTTTCTCTTGAATGCCTCCAGCGTTGGAGTGCTCACCACCTCCCAAGATAATTAGTTCCATTGACATACTGTTCTAATAGTTTAGGAAGTTTTTTTTCCTGATATTCAAGGTAAATCCGGCTTCCTGTAGCTTGAGCCCATTATTATGTATCCTACAGTCTGGGATGATTGATAACAGATGCTGCTCCTTCCTTTGTATGACTAGCTTTCAAGTATTTAAAAAGTGCTAACATATCTCCACTCAGTCTTCTTTTCTCAAGGCTAAACATGTCCATTTCTTTCAAGTTTCCCTCATAGGGCTTGGTTTCCAGTCCCCTGATTATCCTTGTTGCCCTTCTCTGAAGTTTGTTGGCATCCTAACTGGACACAGTACTCTAAATGAGGCAGAATAGAGGGGGACTAGTACCTCACAAGATTTTGAGACTGTACTTCTCTTAATGTAGCCTAAAATAGCGTTGGCCTTTTTTGCAGCCACATTATCCTGTTGGCTTATATTCGGCTTGAGATCTACTATAATTCCAAGATCCTTCTCACCTCTACTATTTTTGAGCCAAGAATTCCACCATCTTGTAACTGTTCCTCTAGGTGTAGAACTTTGCACTTATTCCTGTTAATTTCATTCTGTTGTTTTCAGCCCAGTACTCAAGCCTATCAAGATCTTTTTGAATTTTGTCCCACTCTTCCAAGCTATTAGCTACTCCACCTAGTTTTGTGTCATCTACATATTTGACAAACACTCCCTGCACTCCTTCAACCCATTGATGTTGAAGAGCACTGGGCCCAGGCCTGAGTGTTGGGGTACCTCACTTGTTACCTCCTCCCAGTCTGAGAAGGAGCCATTGATAAGCGCTCTCTCAGTACAATTCTATAACCAGCTGTGTATCCATCAGACACTTTTATCCACCCTACACCAAGTTAGCTTGCTAATCATGATACTATGTGGCACTTTGTCAAAAGCTTTGCTGAAGTCAAGATATACAGTGGTGCCTCGCTTAACGAGCGCACCGTATAACGACGAAATCGCATAGCGATCCGTTTTTTCGGATCGCTAATGCGATCGCTCAACGTTTTTCCAATAGGGGAAAATTCGCTTTGCGAAGACCGGTAAGCGTTTCGCTTACCGATCTTCGCAAAACGAACCCCGACGATCCGCTGTTTGGCGGCCAAAATGGCCGCCGGAAGCCCGGAAATGGCCCAAAATGGCCGCGCGCAGCGTTTTTGCGCCCTCGTTAAGCGAGGCAAGGGCGTGAAAATGGCTGCCGGCCATCCTGAAGCATTGCTGAACGGTGAGTATTTGGCCCATTTGGAACGCATTAAACCATGTTTAATGCGTTCCAATGGAAATCCCTGCCCCGTTCAACGATGCTTCAGCATAGCGAAGGTTAATCCGGAACGGATTAACCTCGCTATGCGAGGCACCACTGTATTATGTCTACAGCATTTCTACCATCTATCAGAGAGATTATCTGATCAAAACAAGAGATCAGATTAGTCTGGCAGGATTTGTTCTTGACCAGTCCATGTTGGCTTCTAGTTATCACTGCATTGTTTTCTAGGTGCTTGCATAATGACTGTTGTATAATCTCCTCCAGAATTTTCCCTGGGATTGATGTCAGGCTGACCAAACTGTAGTTCCTTGGTTCCTCCTTTTTGCCCTTTTTGAAGATAGAGATGTTAGGTCTACTATCGTCTGGCAATTCACCTATCCTCAATGATTTCAAGAAAATAATAGACAGTGGTACTGCAGTTTCTTCATTCAGTTCCTTAGATATCCTTAGATGGAGTTCATCCAGCCCTGGGGATTTGAACTCATTTAAAGTAGTAAGGAATTTCTTGACTATTTGTTTATCAGTCTGAAGCTGCAATCCTATCCCCTTCCCTTTGTACTTCACATTTGCTTAGAGGACTGTCACAGACTATCTTTTCGAAGAAGACTGAGCTGAAGTAGGAATTGAATCTTCTGCCTTTTCTTTGTTGTCTGTTATCTCATTCCCAAATGAGTTGCTCAGCCACTGTTTCTTTTCTGTTTTTTGCAATAATGCTTTTTGTTGCTTTTAGTGTCTCTTGCTAAGTTTAGCTCATTCTCAGCTTTTGCCTTCCTAATGCCATCCCTGGAATCCTTAGCTACTTGCCTGCACTCTTTCTTTGTAACCCGACTTTTCCTCCACTTCCTTTATGTGTTATTTTTAAAGCTCCCATCTGAGCTTTTTGTGAAGCCACAGTGGTCTTTTTTGCTATCTTCCACCTTTTTTTTTCTTGTTGGAATTGTTTGAACTTGTACCTTTGAATTTCCTTTTTCAGAAACTCCTGCTCATCTTGGACTCCTTCTGCTTTTAGGATTTCCTGCCATGGGACCTTACCTATTATTGTTCTGATTTTATTGAAATTGGCTTTCCTAAAATCCAGTGTGTATATGTAGCTACCCTCTGCTTTTGTTTCTTTTGAAATCAAGAACTCAAGTAGAACATGGTCACTTTCCCCCAGAGTTCCTCTTGCTGCCACTTCACTAAGTCACCTCTACTGGTTAGGATCCAATTCAAGATAGCTACTCTGCTATTTTCTTCCTCCACTTGTAGTAGGAGAAAATTATCAGCCGCACAAACTAGGAATTTCCTGGAAGGAAACATTAAGCTTTCTTGCAAAAGAACAGGATTTATTGAACTTGAAAGAGACTTAGGAATGTTGGCAACATTAAACAGTATAGAACTTCCAAAAGTCAACAGGAGTTCAGTATCTTTCTGGTCTTTATCATAGTTAATTACTTCCTTCCTCTGTGTCTAAGGAGGGCAAGTACCCTTTTCTCTCTGGCTGCAGATTCCAACCTGAGGTACTGTATTTTTCCGATTATAAGATGACCCAATGTATAAGATGACCCCCTGGTTTCTTACTCCAAGTTAGAAAATTTGATCCCTGCTTTAGCTTTGATCCATAGCTTAGCAAAAGAAAGGGAAAAGCAGGGGTCAAAGGTCTCCCTTTGACCACTGCTTTTCCCTTCCTTTTTACAAAGCCCCATGGCTCCGCCTCCTGCTGCTGCCTTCTGTGTATAAAACGACCCTTAATTTTTTCTCTAATTTTAGGAGAAAATGTTGTTTTATACAGGGAAAAATACGGTAAGCTAGACGCAGGGGATGCCCCAACAAGAATGGCTTACACAGACAATGGAAGAGAAACAGGGACATTCCTCATCCCTCTCTTTCCCCCTTTTTGGTAGAGGGGACCTGGCTTGAATTTGTCTTGGATGTTGAAGCAGGGCTGGTCTGCAATGTCTTTGAACCCTTTCTTCTTATGCCCTTGTATGTCCCTCCTTTCCCTTCTTTCCTTTTCACCCCAGAACGAGGACTTTCAGGAAGGTTTGGATTTTCATATGCTTTCTGCCTCTTCTTTAGGGACCCTCAGAGAAGCCACTTCTGCCCAGGGGGTCTTCTCTTTGGACATAATGCCATTTCCCTTGAGACTTACTTATCACTCCTCACTTACCTTGAAAGCCCTAGAAGGGTCTCTGTAAATCAGTTGCAACTTGATGGTACATAACAACAATAACTGTACTAGTGTAAAATCCATCAAGCTAGCAGTTGTACATTTTCAGTTTTAGCACAAGAGTGGTATTCCAGTTTCATAGAAATGGAATTAAAAAAAAAATAACAAGCTACATTCAGTCACATGAAGAAAGACATTTATATTAGGCCATTCAAGATAAAATGAATGTGAACAAGGTTCCCTCTAAGGTGCACACCTGTGCAAGACTCTGCCCCCCCTCCATGCACCGAGAGCAATCATTTTTGGCCCCTTTGGTTCCAATTGCAGTGGAACCCCATGTGGCAGGGGGAATCCTGTGGGCAAAGTCATGCATGCGAGGGGGCACAGCCCAGCCCACTGGGGCTGAAAGAGGGAAGATTTCTGGATCGCTACCTCCACCCAGCCAAACCTCAGCTGCTGCAGCCATGGTGCTGGCACTTTGACAGGCTGCAGGCCAGGATCTGGAGCAGCTGGCACTGGCAGCAGATCTGGAGTGCGGTCTTGAGGCACCTCTGTGCCCAGGATTCCCCCTTCTGCCACTGCCGCCCCCGCAGCACGCCACTCGCTGATTGTTGTGTCCCCCCCCCCCAAGTTTGGGCACTTGGGCCCAAAAAGGTTCGCCACCACTGCCTTAGATAATGAAATCCTGGCTTAAGAAAAATAAGTGTACTGTAGAGGGATTTCAGTTTTTTAAACATCAAACAATGTCACTGTGCACAAATCAGAGAATATCATATTTACAAAATACACAATATTGTTTATTGAAAACAGGTCTTTTACAAAACATGGTACAGAGCAAAGGTCAAGAATAAATAACTGATATTTTTGTAAAAAAAAATCATATCAAATACGTGCAACCAAACAAGTAAAAACTAGTTTCAGAAATAAACACTTTTGTACAACAGTGTAAAAACTGGTACCCGAAGTGACCATTCAGGCTGATGGAATTTTATTTGTGAAGTAAAAAGAAAAAAAAAGTGTTAACAGCCCTGCATCTGGAACACTGACCAATGGAAGGATTTCCAGTTTTAGAAATGTAGACATGTTCAGGTGGATCCAAAAGAACAAGAAATTATCTAGCTCACCTTTTACTGAAAAAAGAAAGCCTTCACAATTTCTTTAAACTATTGAACATTCGTCCCTATGCTAAAGTAGTACACAACTGTCTATCTGTTCCTTTATAGCTAACTAATAAATACTTTTAAAGACAGACCTGCTGTAAAACAAAAACACATACAGCCATTTCAAGGAGATAACACAATAGATACTAGCTTAGTCCTTAAATCTTGCAGAACACTTGTGCACTTGCTCCCACTGACAATGCAAAAAAATAAAATGCTTGCAAGATAAGGAATTCTTAAGGTCAGGATTTTTTTTACTGTTACAATAGTTTCTGTAAGTATGCCATGTTATTTTGGAAATGGTTAGAGTGATGTGGAGATCTTACCACACACAAAATCATATTCAATGTATCCTACATTTTGTGTCACTTGGGTTTTAAAAGCTAAACCATTAGTAGAACAGAGGGGGAAAGATTCCGTTCACCCTGCCACTCTCAAATTATGACATAAGATACAGCTACAATCATACACATTAGAAAATATAGTATGATCCAGTACTCACACTGTTTATCTTGTTTGAGGAACAGACGATAACAGCTATTTTTGTTCATATTACTAAGATTATCTTCTAAGATTATACATAATACAATAATTCAAACTTTGAGGGAAAACAGTTTTTAATTTGCATACAAAGTTGGCACAGATGTTAATCTTTCTGAATTCGAAAAGCATATTCATTATGTTGTATAATTCTGCACTATCAAATTCATAACTTTTAAAACAGGAGCTTTGTGTACTTTATTTATTAAACCTACAGAGGGCACATAACTTAATTATATTCCTCTGAAACTTTCATTCAATAGTTGGGTGTTTTTAACACTTTCCTGCTTCTCAAGTTTAATACAAGTGGGTGGGGAGGTCAATACATTTGTAGCGAAGACCAATTGAGACTGTGAATAATTCTGTTATTTGAGCAAAGGTAGTTTGGAGTGTTTGAACATACCCAGCTTGAAAAATACACATTTTTAGTGGTATATGTGCAGATACCCCATGGTCTTGCAGGGTGCTTCATTTCATCTGTGTGGGATATATCTGCCCTACCTTTGGCCACAAGTTGCTGATGGGTTTAAGTTAACTTTCAAGAACTCTGAAAGAAGCAAGAAGTCTGTTCCTCAGATAAGTTCATTCCTAGTGAGTCAACACTTTTGCAGGATTTATTGAGCAAGTATTTAAAGGCAGCATTAGCATAACTTGAATAGGGTAAAGGTTTCTCAATTTATTTCTGAATGATCAAGAAAACATAGTGTGATAATGTAGCGCTATTAAATTTTTAAGACAATGACCAGAATCGTGTTGGTGCACGTAAGTTTCATGTTGTCAGCTGTAGCCTTTTACGCTTCCCCAGGATGAAAGGGATTTGTAGGGAATCTTAGAAACTGAGGTGCGATAATAAAGATAAAAGTCTGTGTCTCATTACATCAGCCACCTTGTGCATGCAGAGGTGTGCCAACAGGTTGCTGACTATTGAATTAAAATGTCCTTGTGAGTGACAGTGTTGAGGGAGTGAGAAAATATTTCATCAGGCATTTTCACTGCAAGTAATTTATTCAAGCTGCCTAGCTTATCCATGAATTACCTACTTATTAAAATTCAATCTGCCTACCAAAATTCAACTCCCTTTGATTATTAAATAATTCCCATATAGAAAAGTAACCTTTGTAGTTTTCAGTAACAACTAGGCAATTCTTAAAACTACTTGAGGACAAATTGTAATACATGGAAACAGATGGTTCATTCCAGCTGTCAGCAAACTTCAGTGAAACGATTAAGAGTAAATTGGAACATAAGCATTCACATTTTATATTTCTGTGTAATATTTCGTACTCATTTTGCATATGTCTTGTAGAAAACAGGTGAGACTTCTTATTCACTTTTGGCTCAGTAAGTCTATTTTGATATTCAAGTATTAGGACAATGCAGCTGAACAGGAATAGGTATCCTGATAAAATATTCTACAAAGAAACATAATGTTAACTATTCTGCAATATATTCCACCCCAAAAGCCAGAAGAAATGTTTTTCACTTTTGGATCTGTAGCCTGTTCCCAAAGGTAGTGAAGGTCTTCTACATGTCCATGAGAGGTCATCATTTTGTTGTAAATGCAAGGATGATATGGAGCCTTACCTTCCCCGGAAAAAAACAGATGATGTTGTGGTACAATTCCCATTTTGTTGGCACAGAGACCCATGAAAACATCATCTATATAGAGGCTTGAATTAAGAGTCTGTGAGGCTGCATATACTTTAGCGGCTACATCACTCGATATTACATAAGCAGCTCCAGCTGTGTAATCGGGATAAGCAGACCATGGATACATATCATAGGGAACATAGTATTTGCTTTTCTTATCTCTTACGGGAGGTGCTCCACGATGGACACGCCCAATCCAAAGATTCTGAACACCAATTTGTGCCAGATTTTGGAGGTAAGCAACAAGATTTGGCATGTGGATAAAAATGTCATCATCTGCAGACATAACAAACTTGGCATGAGGGCAAAACTTATTTACCCAGCTGAACTGCAAGAGTAATTTGTGAGTGAGGTTGTAAAAAGTATCTAGGAAGTCTTGTTGAATAAGATCACCATACATTTTGTCTTCTCTTTGAAGTCTCTTTTGTATTTGGTTTCTCTGTGTAAGGTTGCTTGGCTGTCCTAAAACAAAGAGGGTCTTGATATTGGTCTTGAGATAGTAATGAACGTACTTTTCATTACCCCACGTTTGTCGAATTCCATCCCTCCGGTGAAAATTTTCAGGTGAAGTCTTCACAAACAGCAAAAGGAGAACATCCTGCCGTTGACATTTCTCCTCGTGATTGATCAAGTACTGATAGCCTACTACCCTGTCCAAGTTGTCTCTAAGAGACAGACTTTCATTCACAAAACTGTAGCTATTTATGAGGTATCTATAGGAATAAGATTTCATGTGGCCCACAAGGCTACTTTCATCAAGTGGTCCCCAAAACATCATGAGACACAGTACAAAGCAAGTGGCAAATATCTGCACAAATTGGCATTTTCTAACTCTTCTAGGATTAACATACATTCTGATGCACTCATTGATGGCTGGTTCTAGTCAAGGATTTATATTTTCTAAATGGAGTTCTTGTGAGAGAGGTCACAGTCTCGCCTTCAGGAGAAGAGTTCATTGTAGATGCATCATTCTTTTGAATGATAGGTTTAATAAATATTAATATATTGACTTTTTGCAACTGATCTCACTTCTGAAGTGGTTTGGCTAGCCCAAAAGACGTACAGAGAAGTCTTCACAATAGCACCTGCTAAATATACTCCATCCTCTGCTGCGTCTTCAACCGATCTAAAGATCATCTCAAAATTGATGTTGTTACCGCTTCAGAAGGTTTCAGCGCAATTATCTGAAAAATACAGGAAAGGAAGACCTTAATGCTTTGTTCCATCTTTAGGTACAGTTCATAATCCTCTGAATATAGAACAGTGGCAGGAAACTTGCCAGCCCAGACCAAACAGGGGAAAAGATAATGACAAGGCAAAACTCTGCCATATGGTCTCCATGCTGTTCCCTTAAAGATTTCCAGTATTTTTATTCTAATACTATGTTCTTGCATCCCTGCCCTCATGCCCCAATGCCCATTTCAATTTTTTACATGAAGAACGAGACACTGAAGTCCCTATCTCTGCACTGTGAAAGCCCATGTATGCCTTCTTGCTATCCAGGTAAATAGTGAGGTGTGTGCCAAGGAAATTCCTGCACGGTCTCAGGAGAGGACCCAAGAATTCCCTGCCACATTTCCCGATGGGGTAGAATACCTATAGTACAGAACAAGAGTAGATTATTTTAGCTACTATTAGGAAGACCCATCTTGTGTATGCTATGTCATCCATAATGGCGACATTTCAGCAAGAACCATATTAGCCAAGTAAATTAAATGGTTTTTCCCATGTAGTTGTGGCAGCACCAAAGGAAGAGTTATTTATTCATCGGTTTGCAAACATAATGTGTTAAGAACATTTATGAGGTTTCTACAGGAGTAAAATTTCATGTGGGTCAAAAGACTGGAGACAAAGCAAAACCAGCATTTTTCATTTATGAGGTTTCTACAGGAGTAAAATTGGGTCAAAGGACTGGAGACAAAGCAAAACCAGCATTTTGTCTGAACCATGGGCAAGCATTTAAAATGAGTATGATTTCACTCAGCTTTTTGTCTGCTTAGCATCTCAGTGCTGTTTGCTCACTATTCTGCCTGTTCACTGCCCAGTCATTTCCAGTATCTTCTAATGTATTCTGGGAAGGAATTTGTCCTATTAAGATACTAGAATGCAACAGATTTCCCCACTCATGAGCATCATAAAGTATTTGTTTAGGCACACATCTTTTGTCAGTGTATACTGCACTTAAAAAACCCATTAGTAATTACCCTTTTATAACAGGGAATGGCCTAGGCAATTAAAAACCAAGATATTCCTGAGACCAGCTTTTCTGTGCCATTAAGAACTCTATCCTCAAAACACTGCCTACATGGAACTTGAAGGAAAGCCAACTGCAGAATGGAAAAAACAAAAACATAACAGTAAAAGATGCATATCTTCTCAATGAGATACTAATGGTACCTCTCAAATGAAAATACTCATTTTAGTGTCCATGGCTACACATTAAGCATGCAACCATAAAGCCTGTGTACTTATCTGGAAGTAAAAAAACCAGCTGCTGCCTGTCCAGCGCTTTGTGTGTGTCTGTACACACACAGTTATTTAAAAAATAAGCATAATTTTACATATTTACTGAAATTTTCAGAAACTTGTAACTGTAAGGTGATTACTCAGTAGCTTGTACATACTTAATTTATAATCACAAAACATTTAAAAAGTGTCCTTTTGGACAGAGTAAGGGCTTATTCATATTTGTGCCTTGGCAGAGTTTTTATTTAAAAAGAGGGTGTGGTACATAGACCTTTTACCTCAGGAGGGAGATCTGGCCATGAATAAGGTGTGTATCTCCCTTCAGGGGCGGTCAGAAAAATAGAAGGAAATGCCCCTGGCTATTCCCCATACCACCCCCACCACCTTGTGCTTTAAAAAAAAATCAATTATTTCAGCGGGGGACGGCTCTGACTCCTTATGAGTAGTAGCCCTATATTTTATTAAGTTTTAGATTCAAATCATTGTCCTTTGATAATGAGAGGAAGGCAGGGTCAGGGCTTCCCCTCACAGGATACAGTCCTCATAAAATATCACAGCTTTCTTCGCAGAATACAGCTCTGCCCTGTGAGGAGTCCATTTTCACTAGTATCGGAGGAGAAATCTGTGTGAGGGCTGCGTCTTACCCTCTGGGGCAAGCGACGCTTGAAGGTCTGAGGGAAAGATGCCTGGTCTAAGGAATGAGCTCTTGTATGTAATCCAGTGGGAAGAAAGCGAGAGGATTTGTTTTTCCAGCCAGAAGCCACAAGGTGAATAAAACATTCCTTCACCATTAGGAGGTGAAGGGGGAGAGAGAGAGAGAAGTGTGAAGGCAGTCTTTGTGCATTAAACACCTCTTTTGGTATAAGGGGGAGGACTTGCTTCTTTCCTCAGAAAACTCAACTCTCAGAAGGGAAGAAACCCTCTGAGACTGTAAATGTGAGAGCCAGGTATGAGGTACTGCTTGAAAACAGCTACTTTTTGCCGCCAGACGACCCAGGGGGCGACAGCAAAGCATAGCACTCGGGTTGTAGTTTGTGAGGTTGAAGAAGAAGCAGGCTGCGATCCTTTGCTGTTTCGAGCCTGATTTGCTCCCCTTCAAGCTGGGGCAAGGTACCTGGTCAAAGTGGGGGCAAGAACACATTGGCTCCTCCCTCAGCAAGGTGGTCGACAGAGTAAAGCAGCAAGAATGGGGTCTGGAAGATGCTGCAGAGCTCAGTGGTTTAGGTCTGGCTACAGAGCCTGAGGTTGGGAGTTTGATTCCCCCACTGTGCCTCTCCAGAGAGAAGAGCCAGCCTGGGTAGCCTTGGGCCAGCTGCAGTCCCAGGGCACCCCTGGAAGAAGGAAATGGGAAACCACTTCTGAGTATTTCCTACCTGGAAAACCCAGAAAAGTGTTGCCATAAGTCAAAATTGACTTGAGGGCGCATGATCGCTATCCAGACAGCTAACAGAGTGGCTTAGGTAGGGTTGGGAGTTCAATTCCTCCCTGTGCCTCCTTGACAGGAGCTGGACTCAATGATCCATAGGTTCCCTTCCAGTTCTATAATTAAGATTTTATTCCCTTTCGCCTTTCTCCACTCTAAGGCAACCCTCCTCTCCCTTTTAGAAATAAAAGAATCAGAGAAAAGGCACAGAAGAAACTGTTAATTCTTCTGCTTTCTTCCCTGTCTTTATACTCTCTTCTTCCCCCACCCATGAGTATTTCTTGTGAATACAGAGAAAAGGCACAGAAGAAACTGTTAATTCTTCTGCTTTCTTCCCTGTCTTTATACTCTCTTCTTCCCCCACCCATGAGTATTTGTTGTGAAAATATATTTTATATATATATATATATATTTAAATAACATTTACACTCACCCACCCCAAATCAGGAAGACCTGGTTACAATTTGCAAGTGAGACAGTGTTTTCTTCGCTTATCCCCCATATCACAAATTGCAGACCTAACCTTTCTAATTGCCTAGTCTTTTAAAAAAATATATCATTGTGCTTCCTTCATTGTGGTTTTGCTCTGCCCACTGTTATCAGATAACATATAAAGAAAAAGTATGCTCATTTTTCTCCAGAGAAACATGGCCCTTAATATTCCAATGAAACATTTAAAAATAAGAATATCATGATAAACAGTATCCTTTTCACTAGGCCCCAATTCAAAAGTTGGATTTCATTTGCTCCCAGAGGCTTAGATGATTACCGTACAGGGAAATACATGGCCATACACAGTCTGTTTTGCCCATACTAGTGTTTTCAACCACTTTAGCAAAGTAGAGTATGTCTTATTAAAAAAAAAAAAGAAAAGAAAAAAAGAACAACCACTAAACCAGCACAAATTTGTAAGAACATAACCAAGTCTAGTGAGTGAAACCCAAAACGGATGGAAGAAATACTAAAAATAGAAATTACATTGTGGCATACATTTAGAAAGTTTTGCAGCATCTGCAAAGCAATCCTTCCTGCGCACTGCTTCATAATTAGAACTGCAAGGATGGGAAAGCATACAACCACCAAATCACGTGATTAGAAATTTAACTTAAAAGGCAAGAAGAAATCAGAAAACACAACAAATACTCGTAAGCACTTATTCATTATAGCAATACACATCTGTACTTCTGCAATAACTCCTTTTATCATCCCCCGTGCCTTTAACTACAGCATTGGGCAAGCAACTGCCATGTTATCATACTGTAACCCACCCTGCCCCTATTTAATACTGCTGAAACTAGCAAATGGAGTTTAATTCTGAACATATTGGCAGAGAAACAAAAGCAGGTTGGTCTATTGCAATCCTTGCTCCCCTCCCCCAATGAGGTCTAGTGACTTCACACAGTTTCCATTGTCTAAACATTTCTTGGCTAAGAAATAATAACATTTCTGTCTTCCAAAGGTAAAGGTTCACCGCCCGCAAAAAGCCCTGCAGATCACAGTAGATTCTCAGGAATGTTTCTGGAGATACATTCCATTCATGTGAGGTGCTGGTTAAACCTGTTATCTCCTATTGCCTCCTGTGAAATGAAGTGCACCTGTAGTAACCACATTTATTTATTCCAAAATACTGCAGAGAAACCATCTGCAGATACTCGTAACCTTAACACAGAGCAGCTGGAAAATAGAATTACTGCCTGTCTCAACAAAGGACATCCAATGAGGTGTAGCAGACAGAGTAATGGACCAGGACTCAGGAGACTTGAGTTCAAATCTCCATTGGTCACGGAAACACATGTGTGGAATGGTGTGTGATAAAACACCTCACTTTCCTTGAAAGCCCTGTTAGGGTTATAGGTCAGTTCCAACTTGACACCACATAACACATACAAGATTTCAACAGGATGTTCTTAAGTGCTGTCAAGTTATCTCCAACTGACAGCAGCCTCATGGATAAGTGACATTCAAAACATCCTGTCATTAACATCCCTACTCAGTTCTTACAAACACAAGGCTGTGGTTTTGTCTTGAGTCAATCCATGTCATATTTGGTCTTACTCTTTTCCCGCTTCCTTTGTTGTTGTCTTCTATTGTCTTCTCAAGATGTGCTCAAAAATGAGTAGCAAATGAGATGCTACTGTGTGATATATTTCTGGCCCTATGATATAGCCTAAACTTTCCTCCACTCATTATATTTTTGTATCCTACTTTTTAAAAACAGTTAAATAAGAATATAATCTTAATTACTTTACTGCTTCAAATTAAAGTAGTTTTAAGCAGAGCATTCTATCTCCAAGT